AAAAAAAGAAAGAATAAATATTTTTAAATAAATATCTTATCTTAAAATATATATTTATTTAAAAATATTTAAAGAATTTAAAGAAATTTTAAAGAATAAATATGTATTTTAAAAAAAGAGTAAATACATATATAATTTAAGAAAGAATAAATGTATATTTTAGAAAGAAAGAATAAAAGTTTATTATTTAAGCAAATTGTTTTATTATTTAATTGAACTGATGTGTGCAATAATAAAACGTTGTTCTATGCGTTGTAGTTGTACTGATTATTTAAAAGTAATTATCACTAATTATAAAGTAAAAACTATTTTTAAATCTACGAATTTTTCAAATTGGCTCAAAAAATTAGTAAAATTATTTTTTAAAATATTTTAACTCTTTGTTTTAATTTTTATTGCATTGAAAAAAGATTGCTTTCTCAGCTTTAAGCTTAATTCTTACTTCTTCTCCATTTCCTCCTAATTTTACTTCTATCTCTTAGTTTTTATAAAGAATATTCTTCAAGATCTCATTTTTATGTTTATGCTTGAGATTACTTTAAAATTCAATTGCAACTGAATTTTAGCTTAAATAAATAATGAATTTAAATAACAGACTTATGGCAATTTGAAAACTTGTCTTCTAAATTTGACTATGTGAAGAAATTTTAGTATTAGCAACAATTTTTGAATGTATAGAAATTAACGTAATAAATATGCTTTTGAAGTCAAAATTAACAGAAAAATTTTTTGTTTTATGAAGGAAAAATTCTAGATGACTTCTCATAAACGCTCAGAACTCACAAAATCTAAAATATATCGAAATTCACTAATCATGAACAAGGTCAAAGGTTGCGAATACTTACTCTCAACTCGATGGCTTCTTCTTGCTCTTTAGTTCGTTTGGCTAAGTAATCTTTTTCAAGTCTAAAATATTTAAATAATGGCCTGCTTGCAAAACAGTTTTCAAAATGAAAGTATTCATTTAAAAATAAAACTGAAATGTAAGTATTTGAAAAATTTAACCAAATTTTTTTTTAATTTATGAGGCATTTATGTTAATTTATAATTAGCTTATTTTTTATTTCTTTGGAAAATTTGTACATATAGTTTGTCGAATTTTTATCTCATTTTAATTGACATATAATTTTGGGATAAAAATTATTAGTAATAATTTTCAATTTTAATTATAAGATCAATTATAAATTTCTATTAAAAACCTTATTTAATACAGAAAAAGTAAAAAAAATTTGGTTTTTCGAAAAAAAATGCGCATCGAAAAACAAAATCTCCCGCCTTTTAATTAGTTTTTATACTTTTCGTACTCTTAAAATTTTGTACTGAGTAATTAATTTACTAAAATAATTACTCAAAATTGATTGCAAACATAAAAAATCTTGGCGAAATTTTAAAAAGTAACAAAATTTTTATTTTTTAGCAAGCAAATATTCTTCAAGTTTTTAAAGCTTATTGCTATTTGCTAACAAAGTCTTCAAGAGACTTTTCGAATTTATCATTATTTTTTCAGAGTTGCTTAGAACAAAACTAACTGCTACATTTTTTCCTAAAAATAAATAAATAAAATAAGCAAAAACTTTTTCTTAGCAACTTTTTTCATACATATATGTTTTTTATACTTAATTACTTAAAAATAATTACTTAAATTTGTGGTAGATTAGTTTTTCTAAAAAATTTTTACTTGAAATTCATTAATGAAAAACATATACGAAATTGAATTAATTTATGCACAAATGTATGCTAGTAAATAAAACGAACTTTTTCATTTTCTTTGCGTTCAGTATAACTTTGCTAGCCACAACGAATAATAGTTCGTGATCATTTTCATATCGCTCACGTACTTCACGTTGAAAATACTAAAAAAAACGTGATAAAATAAAGTTATAATTTGAAAAATAAATAAGTAGAATTTTTCTTAAGAAAATTGTATTGGAAATTTTATTGGGAAATTATCAATGCATTAATAATCTAAAATAAAAAACGCATTGTATTAATTTTAATCCTGATCATCAATTACTATTACTAAATTGATATTTTCAGATTTTCTAATAATTTTGTGAAAAAAACTTACTTAGGGTTACTGATTAGTAAGCATAAATAATTTAAATAAAAACAAAATTCTCAGGGATAAAAAATAGTGATTTTTACTTTACAAAATTGAGTGCAAAAATTTAATAACATATATCTTCTTGAAGCATAAATTTACTTTACTTTGTGGTTATAGATAATAATTTTTATTATTCAGTTAATAAAAATAATACACTTGTAATGCAAATAAAAATTTATACAGTAGATTAATTACAAACAAACCTTAAGCATTCCTTCCATATCTAGTTTTAATAAGTCTAACCTAGCTTGTTGTAAGATTGCTAGCGCTACTCGAAATATGAATTCCATTCTCTGAAGTTATCAATTTTTGTTTTCAAAATATTAATGAAAACGAAAATAATAAAAAAAATTTTCATTTTTATTGAGTTCCACATAAATTGAGCACATAATTTTATGTTAAACATAATTATAAACTCAATTAACAATAATATATTAATAGCAATACAATATTTAATCAGTACGCAACGTAATTCAACTTTAATAATTAACACTTATTAACACATATTTGAATATTTATCAATTTTTTCAAACAAGTGAATACATTACTATACTGCACCATGTCAATTTATTTTTCCAAATTTTTATATTTATTTTCAAAATATGAACCGATTGAAAAAATGAATTCATTAGAACTGAAATTAAAATAACTTAAATACAAAAAAATTACCTCAACTAAAAATATATCCATAATTCGATTAGCCAATTCCAAAGGTAAAGTAGTAGTAAACAGAGCTAAAAACCAACTACTTGCGTACATACTCGTATCGAAACCCATATTATTGAAATGTGCATACAAATCTGGCATTTGTTCCTGAGTTTCATTTAAATACAATTTAATTAAATTGCCAATTTTGAGTTTTCAATTTTCACTGCTAAAATTGTTTCAATAATTAGGATTTTTTATCACTTTTGATATTAATAAGAATATATATATATAATACAATGCATGAATATTCTCTATTAAGTTCGATTGTTTTATTCATTAAATTTAATTAAATACTAATTAATACTAAGGCAAGTATAATTTTTGACATAATATATTTTTCAATATTATTGTTCTTATATTCCAATTTATACACAGCTGAATTCGCAGGTTAGAGTTAATTTTACATTAATTTCTGAAAGTTTAAAAACATCAAGAAACTATTTGCTTATGAATTTGATTCTTAATTTTTTTCACTTGCGTGTAATTTGAATATAATTTTCGTAATAAATACCAAAATACAAAATTTAAGTGTTTTTTCCCTTCTAAATCTTTTCAACAAATAAAATATATTCAAATTTTATTTTAGCTTACTTTTAGCAAAGAAATGTAGACATGCTAACTTTACATTATTTTAGAAAAGTTATTTTTCTAGGTTAAACCAATTAAGTGCTAAAGTAACATACTTGTACAAGGCACTCAAGTTGAAACATACAAAGGCCCAATTCAGTCATTGTTGGCTTAAAAAGTTCTCTTAAATGATAAGTTTCCATCAAACGCACGAATACTGCGAAGGCTTCTTCTTCGGGCATCTAAATTATCATATTTTGTGATCTGAACTGATAAAGATTGATAAATGCCAACTTCATAATTAATTAATTAACCGATTGATCACTACTGTCCTTAATTTGCATGAATAACATATAATATTGAAATATAAAATATGAGCGAAGCATCCAAAATGCGCACAGATTTATCACTTATAAATCATATCATCAGTTTACCTGTCTAAACTTGTGGTTAAAACCTGACTTTGAAATAATAATAAAATTTTTACATATTGAATTTTTTAAATTATTCCAAAT